AACACATCAAGAAATCTCAAGAGGTAATGATTGCTTATGAGAACAAGAAACGCCGACAGTCCACATTTCAGGTAGGGGAACGTGTCTGGGTCAGAGCTAGTGAGTTGGGACAGGAGTTTGGCATCTCTAGGAAACTAATGCCTCAGCATTTACAGCACAGTTCCCATCACGGAGATCTATGCTGCCCCCAACCATGGATGGCCACGTGGACGTCAACGGCATCCCGGATCACAGAGGCATGCCTGTTCCCAAGCCACCTGGCAGGGGAAGACCTCCTAAACCTGCAAGGGAATACAGAGTACATTTCAGGCATCATACTGATCCTAAGGAATATCGATGGATTTCAAGGGAGGAACTTGTCAAGACGGCTGCTCAGATCGTGACAGATTATGAGAAGAAACTGAAGGGGCAGGCACCAGCATGAAGCATCTCAGCGGACTTTCGAAGCTAAGGGGGATGGGAATGTGAGGAACAAGCCCTCAAGGGGCCCTATCAGACATCACATGTTCTGGGCTAAGGCCACCAGCAAGCCGAGTGCCCGCCCTAAGTGAAGGCGGGCCTGAATATTCGTCAGAGGCCAAAATTCGACATTTTCATATATGGGTATTCAGGCTCTTGCAGCACGCCAGTTGGTTGGGTAGACGCGTGAGGCTCACTAAGCTGCGTCATACAGTTGGCCCAGGCCTAGACAGTTGCTCCTGGGCACATACACACAAAGCAGGGCCGATACTTGGGAAGCAGGCCATCGGCCTTTGGAAAAGCAGTACGGTCGACGCACCTGCCTGGGAGCCCTGCACAGATGCAGCAAACAACCCAAGTCCGGAGACTCTGGCCGTGCCCAACTGAAAAGGGCCCAGGCCCTCAACTGTAGTCTCGGGCCAGGGCACAGGGTCTGAGGCCCAACTGGAAGCTACTGGAAGCTTCCAGCCAGGCCACACGCAGCATCCAGGAGGCTGCCACTTCCATAAAAGAAGTGAGGCAGCCCAGGCCAGGCATTCTGGCCAGTGCTGGCAATGCGGAAGTGCTGCTGCACTTCTGCTTGATGCTGCGCGACTGTCCAGGGCGCTGACGGGGCGCTTAGTGGTGAAGTGGGGCGCTGCAGGGCGGCGGGGCGCAGGCAGCCATAGCCGGGCTGCTGGGCGCCAGGGGGTACAGTGGGTGATCTGGTGGTCTTCAGGGAAGGAGGCAAGTGTGGGGTAATAAAGGTCTGATTGAGGGTGACGAGATACGTACCTGGTGCATGAAGAGAGGTCGGCTATGGAGTTGACAGTTATGTACATTGGTCTTCGAGAGTCGAAGTGAGCCTGTTGCGTGAACCAGCTGTAGGTAGGATAGTCGGGTAGAGTAGGTTGGGCGCTGGGCGCCAGACAGAGAGGAGCGACTTTGGATACCGTGTTGGTGTGGCCTACGGGCTTGAACATTGGCTCATTATTTCATTGTATAGCTCTATATGGATGGTTTTTCGGTGCATTTTGTATTCTCTGCTTGGATACGACTACGTGGACATCTGTGTGATTTCGCAACTTGTTTTTCTGTATATCATTCACACTCATATTCCTTGCACTTCCCAGAATAGAAAAAAAAACATAGGAATAGTCCAAAGTTGCAAACGGTAAATGGCCCACTATTGGGGGCATGGGAAAGCAATGACAAGCAGGTGAGGATAGCTTACCATAGTATCTGGTCTTTCTTTCAGCTGACTGGTGTCAACGGTTTAGCACATCCTGGCAAAATTATCGCCATCCACACTCTCCCTTCAGTTATTGCTCTATGTCCTCTGGACCTGGCTTGTGACGAGGGCCCTAAGGGGTGAAGCGTCCTGACTGCTGTAGGGTCTCCCTGGGCCCTCCGATTGCCGTTTGTTGCAGATTAGCCACTATTCTTCTAGCGTTAGTTTTTAGTATTTTTTACTGCATTTCAAGGAATGGAATATGTGGAAAAGCCCCTCTTATCATTTCTTATGTATGGGGCTGCTGTTGGTCAGGCACTTGCCGCTGGCGTCTTGTATGGGGTTGATTTGTGCTTTGTGTAACGGTGAAGGTTTCCCTTGTGTATGCTTACCTGGCACATTGAAGTGTGATTACTGCTGTTAGGGGTGCTAGGCGATGCCATCTTCGATTAGCTGCTGTGAGGGATGCTACCGTCTTCACCACTGAAAAGAATGCCCGGTCATTATGGCTGTATTTGGAGCAACTTTCAGTCCAGAGACCGCGATAATTACCGGGCGTTCTATTTGGTGGTGAACACGGTACGTGGTGGTGGTAGCAGCACACAAGGGGTGTGTAGCACTCCTTGGGAGGCTCGTGCTCATGCTTGCTGGCAGTGCATCGGGTGCTTACTGATTGGCAGATTAGCAAATCCTTGTCCAGGTCTGTGTACCCGTTTTTGAAGCTGCCGTCTTCACCCGAATAGAACGTCGGTCATTATCACTGCATTTAGACTGAAAGTTGGCCCAAAAAATTACAGCTACAATGACCAGAGGCTCTATTCAGGAAGACGGTAGTCGCAAGGCTTCATAACTCCAACCAGGCTGGGAATGAGGAGTCTCAGTCTCAGATTAAAGAAGTTTCTGTCTTCTGTTGTTTGCTTCTTTTTTTTTTTTTTTTTTTTTTTTTTTTTTTGAGGGTTGCAGCAGCAATATCCCCTAACATTTTGTAGCAGTGAGCACGTGAACTCGTTACCTGTCGATCAACCGCCACAACTTTTTAAAACAAGAATCTGTGTTAGGTGCTGCAATAGGAACTTATGGTAGTAGTTTCAAATTTCAATTACATTCTGAGGGGAAAGGACACATCAATAAACACTACTGGTAGCAATCACCGAATTAGACGAATCGCAAGACCTACCCCAACGACATAATTGAGGATCACTTCATACTTAAATAGTAAGTATGCAATAACTGCCACAAAGGCATCCTGTCATACTCGATGACAGTGTGATCTGGCATTGATGTCATATTTAGCCGTTCATGTGAATTTGTGTGACGATTTGTGGTACAACATCGTCTACCTTTCCATGGTTACGGTGGTGACCCTCTCAATATATAGACGAAGCTTCGCAAGACTCGCCCTCTGAATATATAGACGAAGCTTCTCCAAGACTCACCCTCTGAATATATAGTCAAAGCTTCTCTAGACTCTTATCTGTAGTCATTGTAAAGCGTCTGTGTATTTGATCTTCCTGCTTTTCCTGCTCCTTGTTTTACTTTATTTCAAAGGGAATTGAAAAACTTGTAAAGAAACAAATGAGAATGAGAACTTGGAAAGGGAATTTAAAAACTCATAAAGAAACAAACAAATGAGAATGAGAACTTGGAAAGGGAATTTAAAAACTCGTAAAGAAACAAATGAGAATGAGAACTTTCATTCCAAGCTTGAGTGGAGGCCGCAGACTTTTTCTTTAGAAAGGTAGAGTAGCCCCTCAAGTTACGGGAAATTTCAAATTTAAGAGAACTTCAAAATTCAAATCATTCCTGGAGGAACAGTTCGCAGTGTGTCACACTGGCCGACTGGGAAATGGGTCTCGCTTGATCTTTGTGAATGAACACTTCTTCTTATGAGTGCGAACTACTGAGAAATGGGCCAGGCTCAATTCCCTCCCCCCCCCGCCCCCTCCTCCCTCTTCTTGTACCAAAACATTTTATGAACTCTGAGGTTCTCACCACGGAAGGTATAGATTCCATGAATCCCTGGTACCCCTTGTCCTCCCCCCCCCCCCCCCCCCCCCCCCCCCCCCCCCCCCCCCCCCCCCCCCCCCCCCCCGCCGGTGGAACGCATGACCTCCCACATCAACTTGAGTGGCATTTAGCTGTTGCTGTTAAATTGCCAGCATGTTCTGCCACCAGTCATTTGGTGCAGGGGGGCCAGGTACGATCTAATCTGCGAAGAACTCGAAATACGAAATTGGCTGAAGTAGCTCCGTTGGAACACCCATGAACTGTTGAAATACAGACTTGAGTTCGAATCCAGATACTAATGTACTAATATACTAATATACTATCAGATGAGCAGTGAGCAGTGAGCAGTGAGCAGTGAAATCATTTGGAATGACCTGAGGCTGGTCCGTCCGATGATGATATTCCAAAGGCTGTCAGGCTTTTCACAAAGGAAGGAAAGAAGAAGAGGGGAATAAACTTCAATAAATAGAAAGAAATTGTTTCTGAGGTGGTTGTGGTGGTTGTGGAAAGTGGGGACAATGAGTTTCCAGAATTTGCTCTGCTGCTCTGGCAGGTCAACGATTGTCCTGAAGACGATTGTGCATCCTGGTGGAGCACGCCGCCGCTCTCGCGGCGGATAGCGGCAGATTGCTGCTGGCAGGATGGTGGCCTACCGTCTTCCCCGGAATAGAACGTAGGTCATTATTGCCGCATTAGAATCACGTCGTTGTGGAGCATCAATTAATGGAGGCCTGAATTCACTTTCGGAAACTTGTCATGCCATGTATACGAAAAGCCCAAAGGCCTGTTTACAAGTTCTTAATCAACCTTGCCAACACCCGACCTCAATTTCAGAAATTTTCAGGAATTTCAGAAATGTCAGCAGAGGAAGTTTGGTCAGTCCAAAAGTCACCGTATTTGGCACACAGCAACCTTGACCTAAAACAAAAAAACAGGCAACAAAAAAAAGAACTTGAAAAAAAAACATTTAAAAAAAGTGAAAAATAGTTATAAAAAAAAAAAACAACTCAAAGAAGTCAAAATTTCTCAAAAACACAAAAAAAATTGACCCCCAGAGGTTTTGGACCCGTCGGCCAGCAGCTGAAAGTGCAGGTCTTTTTTCGTTAACCGGTGTGAATAAAATTGACCCCCAAACCCTAATTTCAGTTTTGGACCCGTTGGCCAGCAGCTGAAATTTGCAGGTCTCCATGGCGTTAACCAAATTGTGGAACGTTCATGAGCTCTTAATTAGTTGTGGGGCAGCAACGTTGGCATGAATGTCGTCAAGGCCAATTGCCATTTAGATGTGCAGTGACGTAAGTAGGATGTATCTTGTTGATTGCAGTCTATTCTGGGTGATGGCGGGAGAGCGGCCATTCAAACACGGGGATCCATTGACAATCCCTTCGGTCCGACACGTGTGTATGGCTATCGGAATGTTGTTTTCGAGGTGAGTGTCATCACCAGCTCTGTCCTATCAAGTTCATGATGTTTCCTCATACTCCGTTCTCCAAAACCCCTGATCCCTTTCCCTCTCCCCCCACTTGTGTCGTCTTGCCCCTGTCCTGGCATCCACCACTGTGACCGTCTTATGCTCCCTCGTTCCCTCTTTCTAGAAGGGATTCTCTCTCTCTCTCTCTCTCTCTCTCTCTCTCTCTCTCTCTCTCTCTCTCTCTCTCTCTNCTCTCTCGCTCTCTCGCTCTCTCTCTCTCTCTCTCTCGCTCTCTCGCTCTCTCTCTCTCGCTCTCTCGCTCTCTCCCTCCCCTCTGTGTGACAAACTAGTTTCTCCGACTTACTGCGATTCTTGTGGGGTCTGGGACCAACAGTCTGCTAGGATTGCGGGGTCGGTGCGAGTAAAGTCGACCTCTTCTCTCAGGGATATTGATAACTCTGGGTGACGTGGTGAATCCGTATCCATCAGTCAAGCGCGTCCTGGGCAGACTGTCGGGGTCCAACCTAATTAACCTAATTATGAGTCAGTGAAAGTCCGATAAAACAGCCTGGCACAGTCATGTTTTTTTTTTGTGGTGTTGTGTCCAGTGAACATGACAATGGCATGTGTATATTCTCTGCCTGAACCGTGTCAGTCCCCTCATTCTGCAGAAGACACCACGATGGCGAAAGGGCATTTCTCCGTAAATTTGTTAAGTAATGTTTATTCAACGTTTTTGAAGTTTATTGTTCCTCCAGTGAAATTAAATTCAAAAAAGTATTGTTGTTGTTTTTGTGAGGCCAGATTCTGATGCATTGTGCTAGTGCTTATTCTTGGCGAGGGTCTGCGTAAACTGCAGGCCTCATTCTACCTCCCTTTCCTTATCTTCGTTTTTTTTTCCCCTTTTGCATCGATTGTGGACATTCTCTCCGGATGCCAATATTTTTTCAAGGAACAGTAGAACACTGAAAGATTTCGAGTCAGAGACGAGGATGTCCTGTCAGCAGTTTAGTGCTCCGCTTTGTACTGTGGTACCAAATATACTCAAAACAACTTTGAAAAAGTCCCCTAATACCCCTATGCGTTTGTGCATTTGGGAGTTTCGGAGCTTCCGTGTGTATTGCTGTCTGTGGCTTTGCAGTAGTTTGTACTTTTTTTTTTTTTTTTTTTTTTTTTTTTTGGACTATTTCGGATTTCTCGATTGTGTGTCATCCTTGAAAGCACAGGGGCCATGCTAATCTTCATTCTCTCTGTGTGTAGTTCCAATTTTAACAGATGTCCCGAAGGACTGTGCATTTGCACTATTGAATCATTTGCTGGTTAGAATTTATTATAAATTTAAAAATTATAAAATAAATAAATAGTTTGGGATCCGACCGGAACTGTTCAACCTCCGGAAACTGTTTCGGAAGTATTTTTGGCATGTTTCCCTTTTAGGAAAGGTTGTACCTTGTAAATGATGTTTGACAACACATGAGGGGAGGGAGGAGTTACATAACTTACATTACATATTGTTGCTTCAACATTGATGAATGCATTCGAGTCGAGTGTTAAATCATGACTTCCATTACGTCTTCTTATGGTCCCTCCTCCTGAAACTTCGCTGCTTCTTTCCTTTGTCCGTACAATTTAGGTGATGAAGAACGGACACATCGCTACCGTTACCCTGTTTCAGGCGACCCCGACGTGATCAATCTCATCCATCTATTAGAAAGAGAGTTCTCTCGCTGTGCGTAAGGGGAAGAAATTCCCCCTGCTATATTCGTTTCGTTGCTCGAGGGTGTGAAGCAGGCAGTTCTCACGGGAAAACGGATCGCACAGCAGGGACCGGCTGCACTGCCTAGAGAGGGTTTTTTCAGGAAGGCTGCTGTGACGACGAAAGATAAGAGGTGCAACCTGAATGAAGTACAAGGATGAAGAGCTTTTACTTCTTGAGTCTCATTTGGTGGAGTTTTGCAAGTGAGCATCGGTGGGCCTTTACAGATTACGTTTCACCTGCTTTGCTAGCAGAGGCAGAATCCTTGAGGTTGGTCAGTACCCCAGCTGTGCAAGATCAGTAAGCAGCCATAATCTTTTCGTAAATGTGACAGCTCTGCAAACTTCGCAAATATGCCAGCTCTGCTCTGAGCGGTGTAGCGTCCTGCTGGGCTTAGAAGCCTATGGTGGCCTTGCAATCTTCATGAATATACCGGCTGAAAAATGTTATGGGCGGTGTGTGTGTCCTGTTGAGCCTAGGAGCCTTTAGGAGCCTTTCTTGTGGGCTGCCGTACCGCAAACACTGTTGTATTGTAGCACGGCACGGCTAGTGGCAACGCTCATGCGACTTCAGTAGCGTATTATGATGATGTACTGTATTATGATGCTGTATTAACCGGTATGTATGTACTAAGTACTTGTGTGATTCTTTAGTGCTGTTTATGCGCCAGGCCGGGAGGTGGATCATCATGTGGGTATTTTTCTGGCCCTTGAAATGCAGTGTTGTCGTCCACTTGCTGTGCAAGGCACATTGCAGGTGTCGAAGCTGAGCCGGCAGGTGGATCATCCATCATGTGGGTATTTTTCTGGATGTTTTGATGTGTTGTAGAGAACTTAGAGAAGCCTGTACATAGAACTCCATTGAGCAGAGAGTTAGAGGGGAGGAAATGGAGGGGCAGGGGGGGGGGGAGAGRGGGGGGGGCACTGGGTTTCATTTATTAATTTGACGCCTTTGTCAGAGGAGTGAACAATGGATACGGGAAAGCAAAATGCCAAATGGAGGGAGACATCCAGATGGCAGACTCGACAGAGGCAAGCAAATGGCAGATGGCCGTACTAGGCCCGATAAGCAGCGCTAAGCAAGAGGGTTGAGCCAGCTGATAAGACCTACCTGCCCTGTTGGGGGTTCATGTGTATTGATGACGGGCCGGTAGCAGCAGCCTGTGTGGCAAATGCAAGGCATGCTGGACTTTGTGTATGGTTGTTGAGTCTGGACTCTAGCCACAAAAGAAAGCGATGCTTGTACGGAGGGATCCCTTGAGTGGGGGAAGCAAGGGGATTGAACCAGCTGATAAAACCTACCTGGGTCCTGTTGGGGCCTCATGTGTATCCATGATGCACTGGTAGCAGAAGCCTGTGTAAGGGGCGGTTATTTCTGTCGGGATCCCCCCTCGGCTCAGGTCTGTTTTCCTTCTCCCCTCTCTCTCTCTCTCTCTCTCTCTCTCTCTCTCTCTCTCTCTCTCTCTCTCTCTCTCTCTCTCTCTCTCTTCTGTTTCTCTCTCTGTGGCACAAGTTCAGACTCCGTACGGACTGTCGAGGAGAGGTCATTGTTTTTTCACACCTTTTCTTTTTTTGTGTAGGGAAGAAGAGACAGGAGTGCAGCAAGAAAGTAGAGACTGGCTGTAGTCCATATGCGTACAAGGAGACACAGAGTGACCAGTAAGGAGGAGGGGTGGAGAGAGAGGCATTGCTCGGTGCTGTGTTGTCATCACTGGTTGAATTTGCTGTTTTGGCAGCAAGCAGCACAACAGTCCTCACGACATCGCCTACCAAGCTGCAGTTCAGGATGCACTCTGGCCACCATATCAGTTAGGAGTCTGTCATGATGTCAGGTCAGATGGGTGGTTTGTTTCTCGAGTGTGTTCATCTCTCTTGCTGAAGGGTGCCTTTGGAGTATCGACATCACGGTGGTGGGGTCCTTTTGTAAAGCTGGAGGGGGCTCCCAAGACGCGGGAAAGCCCTGGCAGTGCAGCGACCCGGTGATAGCAACGGGTGATCTTCTAGTTGCTGCAGTGCTGACAACTGTCCCTGCCAGGAGTTTACTCACCTGCTTGTGATTGTAATTTACTTTTCTCTTTGTTGTGTTTGTTGTCCTTTGTACTTGAGTAAACGATGATAATGTTCACTGGGACTCTTGTGTTCATTCTCTGGCCTCAGAGTGAGACGCAGCGCTTCATTCCGGAGGGAGGGTCCAGAAGAAAGCCCCTTGACAAGGGGTAGTGGGGTCGGGGCCTTTGAATTTTGAGACTCTCTAGGCCTGATGCACCTTAGGCTCGAGGGAGGCGTACAGCGAAGCAGGCACGATTTCGGTGAGGTTCCCTCTCTCATGGCAAGTAAGGCGCTTTCTTCAGTTCTGGTCCCCGTGTGCGTGGGTGCTAATCTGGCCAAGAGGATGGGGAGCATGCACGCAAACGACTGAGCAACAGGCGGCCACATAGTCGGTAGTATTCCGTCATTTGGGAAAAGAAGTCTGTCAAGGGTTTGACTTTCCTACTTAGCTGGAAAAGAAGTCTGTCAAGGGCTTGACTTTCCTACTTAGCTGCTGATTTTGATTTGTTTTTCTTTTTACAGTACAACAAGGTTTCCACATTGCTCAGGGCTGGCCGCTGAGTAATTCAAAGAGGAGCTGAATGTTCACTCCATGATTCACAGTACTAGGTTTCCACAACATAGAGCTTGATGCCAGGCATTGTCACCCGCATTTTGTAAATAAAATATGTACATGAGGGGAAGACTTGGAAGAGGCAAGTGTAGGCAAAAGATGTCTTACAACTCTCACCATCTATAAGAGAGTCAGACTTGTTTGACTGTTTTTCATCCCTTTTGAAATCTTTTCCTGCTTTGATTCTTTCTTCTTTACGCAAATTTCCCCCCTTCATCCCAACGCAGATTGACGCACACGCACACCCAGGGAGCGAAAGAGAGAGAGAGAGAGAGAGAGAGAGAGAGAGAGAGAGAGAGAGAGAGAGAGAGAGAGGGAGTTTCTTCATGGCTGGCTTTTGGTTTTCCCTCCCTGTGGGAGGCTGATTGTGCGCGATACTACGTGTGATGAGCTCTTTCCAAAGCTTCTGTTTTACTGGTTTCTTGCCTTGAAAAGTGGTATGTGTGACTATCTGGCGAACCAAGGCAAACAGTCAAAATTGTTACGAGCATCTGATGGCGTTGACGTTGTGCTCTGCTCTGAATTATATAGTCTGCGAATGCTTTCGAGGGAGAGTTGGAACGTGGAAGCGATTGCTCATGGACTCTCTTTGAGTCGATCGCCGGTTGTGGACTGCCACTGGCCTTGAGCATCTCCACCGCAGAGCATCTTTACCGCAACCTTCTCTGGATTATTCTCTTGTTTCCCCCCCCCAATGTCTCCCTTTCCTTATCTTTCTTTTTTGGGGGGGGTCATAGGTTCTGCAGTTCTACAACTTCTCAATTCCTTGCATGGTATTCTTGCATGCTCTGTAGTATTTTTTTTGTGTCGAACAGCCTGTGATATGTGCCAAAGCAGAAGGTATCAGGGGGGTGACTGTCTTGGTTGAGTGATAAGGATAGCAGCATTCGAGAATCTCCTTTGCCACCAGGTCTGTCATGACAAGAGCAAGGAAAGTCGCATAGCTAGTCCACCCTGTTGTTGAGTTGAGTTCTACATTATCCCAATTCATACCGGATAGTCCATAGTTGCATTTGCAAGCGCCCACTCCGGTGTCCTACGGGCCCATCACACCATAAGAGAGCAAAGCAGTGAAGAGGATGCCATTACGATGCAATGCTTGAAGGAAGAGCAGATGAGTGTGAGAGACACCACCAATGGAATTGGTTTGTGGATGGATGTATGGATGCTTTTCCAGCTGTGTAGCATAGCGGAAAGGCAAGAACTAAGAGGGGAGGAGGGGAGGGGGGGGGGGGGGGGGGGGGGGGRGGAGCGAAAAAAAAAAAAAAAAGAGGACTCTAAGAGAGATGATAACAGTAGGAGGGGAAGGGTAGGAGACTCTAAGAGAGATGATAACAGTAGGAGGGGAAGGGTGGTGATGGCTTCCCTCTTATCAGTACACTTCACTGTCAGCATTGTGAATGGGCCCCGTGGTGCTGGCCCTGATACAATCGCTTTTGTTTGCCTGACATGGGCATGCGTGATGTCGATCTCAAATCGGTCATTGCCATCCTGTCGTGCAAGGTGGTAAGGCCCCGGTGTTTAGTGTTGTTGGGAATTTGTGACGTTAGTCGATGAGTGACGTCTAAAGAACCGTGCTGTAGCAAATTTGAAGGCTTGAGCGAATTTGTCTCCCTCTTTGGGGACACACTGCACACACTCTCCGTTGTTAAGTCTCACTCGCGATGGGTTTCCCTTCTTACTTATTATGAAAATCTGACAATGTGCATAGGATCCTTGCAACAAAACTCTCTTTGTTCCATTCCTCCGAAGTTCTGGATCGTTCGACAGCGAAAGAGATGGTTATACCACCAGTACGTTTCCCACCCATTTTTGTCTGACGCATGCAGCATGCTGACGCAACTATAGTAGGGGGTCAGCGGCCGGAGCAAAATGGCCGGCGGCGTCAGCCAAAAGAAGGCCTGCAGTGGTTCGTTTGTTTTTGGTGCGCAGGGCGTTTGAAAAAGCCACAGGCAAAAGTGGCTCTAAAGTAGTGGTGGTTTAGTAAGCTCCTTGAGCCTGTGCATATCATATGATGAAGCCAGGGTAGCATCCAGGAGAATTAAGGTAGTGTAGGCTTGGAAGTGGGGTCTATCAGTGGGAGACTGGGAGTGGTGAAGTAAAAGCAGAGTCCAGCAGGGTCCCATAAAGAACTACCTCAGTGTCAATCGTTCAGGAGTGCGATGCACAGAAGACGCAAGGCGTAAATGTTGCTGCTCTCGGTATCTCGGTACCTATGTATGGGAATAAGATGTGCAGGTCGCTTGCTACTATCTGTACGCGGCATAAAAAGTGTCCATGGGCGCAGGATGTCTTTCGTGTATGAACAGGTTTGGTGAGGGAGGGACTTGACAAACAGTTTTTGTTGGGATAGGTAGGTGTTTTACGGGCGATTGTGTAAAATGCGGTGAATTTGGGAGGCATTGAAAGCGAACCGGGGGATCCAGACCAGCCAGTGGGAGCAGCAGCCCCTCCTACAGAGTCTGTAGAGGTGGGAGAAGTAGTCGTCCTGGAGTCTTTCTCAACCTCTCAGGAAGAGATGACGGCGGCTCTGACCAGGAGATGCTCTGTTTCGCGATGCGAGTGATTCTTTAGAAGCGCTACAGAGAGCGTTGCCTGAGAAAGATGTTATGGGACCTTGGGTAATAATGGCAAAGGGTCCTGAAGCAGAGCTGATAGCAGTGGAAAGAAATATAAATGGCCGTAGAGCAGGCACCTTAGCAAGTATCATCTCAACTCGCAGTGGTATCGGTCGTGCTTGTGCGAAGAGGCTGCGCTGCGCTTGAAGGACCAAGTGCAGAAGCTAAGTGAACCTGTAGCATCTACATGATCCAACAAGAAGCGAATCACTGTGAAGGACTGTATTTAAGTACTTTGAACCTTCTCCCATGGGGAAGGCACGATTAGGCACGAGTTGTCTTTTGTGGTGAGCAACGAACTTCTCTTCGATATCATCGTTGGAATTAATTTATTACTTGGAGATGGCCAGGCCTTAGTTTGATTGGGAGAGTAAGAGTGTGCTATATAAGTCTCCTGGTTTGAAAACTATGTCTAAAGATTGGGAGAGTAAGAGTATATGCTATATAAGTCTCCTGGTTTGAAAACTATGTCTA